TCCACCTCTTTCTCCCCCAGCTCTCCCTGCTCTATCCAGGAACCCAGAAGGGTAATCAGGTTCTACCTTCAGAAGAAGTTAGCACACAAAATAGCAGCCTCTTGTTGACAACTTTCTCTACGTAACACATCTGAAAAAGCTCCATTTTGGGAGAATGGGCTCAGGGGTGTGTCTGTGCCCAGCCACCCCCCACCCCCCAACCCCCGCTGTCACAAATCGTATGACACTGGGGGAAACAGGACAGCCGCCGCCACCTCACCTGATTTCCAGGATGGTTCAGGACAGGATGGGCACCGCCCTTCCCAAGGGCTGAGCAGGATAAACTGGGCCCACCCTCAGACTCACTCACCACTGGAAGGAGTCCCGGTCCCCCAGGATCTCACGGACCTCCTCTCTACAACGATGCTGGTGCTCAGGGTACAGGGCCATGCAGTAGAGAAACCAGGAGATACCACTGGTGGTGGTGTCATGGCCTTCAAACATAAATGTGTCCACCTCAGCCCGGAGGTCTGCATCTGACAGCTTGCTGTCATCTTCATCCTGGGTTAGGGAAGGCATAATAGGACAGTTCGAAGTATTGGAGATGGGTAACAAGAAGAACTCATAGCAGTGGTTGTCAAATGAAGGTCTCAGGGAGGGAGTGAAAGCTCCTTTTCAGAGGGTGGATTAGGACCTTCCCCCAGATTCCCATCTTCCTTCAAAGCTCAGCCTGGATGCCTCCTCCTCCACAAAGCCCTCCCTAATCGCTCTGGCCAAATGACTTGTGCCTTGTCCAGCCCCGACTGTTAGTTCTGCTCACTGGGCATGCAGAATACCACCTGCCAGAGGAAGACATTTTGGTCAACATCTACCTACTATCTCCCCTGCTGGACTGTAAGCATCTGGAGGGCAGGGCCAGGTCTTTCCCATCTCTGCATCCTAGCACAGGAACTGACCCAGAGTCAGAGCTCAGTGAGTTTCTAGAGTTGATGAATAAAGAACTTACAGAATGAATGAATGAATGAATGAATGAATGAATGAATGAATGCAGTCTAAGATTCTAGGATTCTACAAGGCCAACATTTTGGGGGATCTTAGAAGTCTAGAAATGTCATCCAGTCACTACCACATGACCTAAGCTCCCAACTCCACAGCTCAGGCACACACACCCTACACCTGCCCACCTCTGAACCTTTGCTAATATGTTTCCTGGGACGAGGAACAGGTTATATTTGCCGAGTAAAGAGGGAGAAATGCTTAAGAGCTCCTTCTGCTGTCCTGAGAGGATGGTCTGAAGACCTCTCTGGGACCAGTCCTCAGGCAGTGAGGAATCATGTACTCACCCGGGCACCCAGGAGAATGTCCAGGAAGTCCAGGTGCCTCCGGTTCTGGATCTTCTTCCGCACCTTCTCATCCTGAAGGGCTGCCTTCCGCTCCCTGATGACCTGGTCTGAACCGGAAGCACAGAGCGTCACTGCCTGGGAAGCCATCTTGTGTCCAAAGGGCAACTGGGGTCCTATAATAGGAGGGGGCAGAGAGGGGCCAGGAGGAGGAACCCAGGCTTCCTAGGGGTGAGCCTTGTTGGAAAGGCCCACCTGTATGGTCATGGGCCACCTGGCAGGCCCGCAGGAAGCGGCGGCCATGTGGGGTGAGCCAGTAGATGAAGTCATTATGGTAGTGGAAGGACACAAGGCGCTGCTGCATCAACAGAGTGAGATCGTTGACTGCAAGGTAGTAGCTGCTGTCCCTGCCAAGCAGAGGGTAGGAGGAAGGATTGGCTTAGACATTGGCCCAGGAGCAGAGCCAGAGCAACTCCATTCCAGAAATCTAGCCCCAACCACAGAGCATCCTGCCCTTCCTCTCCTGCCCTTAAGCCTCCTCGCTAAAGCCAGATGTTTCTCCCCACCATGAGTAAGTCCTGGCTCCCCGCAAGCTAAGGCTCCCTGGGGCAGGACACTATCTCTTCTCAGGTCAGGGCCCAGGACCCCTGCCAACTCTCCCCTGTAAGCTGGCTTTGGAGACAGTGTGGTCAGCCCCGAGGTGGCCCCTGACCTGTGGCCCAGGCTGGTGTCTCCTCTTCCAAAGGTGCACTTCATGAGCGTGTTCAGCGCCATGTGGCCCACATCACAGAAGATGTCAAAGGACTTACCCTCCTGAGCCTTCTCTTCCCACTTGTCCTGGAGTCCAGGGATAGGAGGCAATGTGGGGGTCAATTGGACTGGATGCCACAAGCTTCACTCCAGGACTCATA